TGAATTCAAGGCTAGCCTGGTCTACAGAGTGAGTTCCAGGACAGCCAAGGCTACACAGAGAAACCCTGTCTCAGAGAAATACACATGAAACCATTACCTAATCTAAGGTTGGGAAGACCTATGTTTCCTTCTGTGATTTTTCAGAGTTTTACTTCTTTTAGTCACATCTTTGATCTGCCTTGATTTAGTTTTTTTTAATTTAATTTTATTTTATTTTACAATATAATTTAGTTCTACATATCAGCCATGGATTCCCTTGTTCTCCCCCCTCCGCCCCCCTCCCCTTCCCCCCAGCCCACCCCCCTTGATTTAGTTTTTACATGATGTGAGATTAAGATCCAGATTTACTCTTTTGTGTGTGAATATCTAGTTGTCTCAATAGTATTTGGTGAAAAGTAATTCTTTTCCCCCCCGATAATGGTCTTCGTACCTCTGTCAAAAAGCAACTGAGGGTCTAGGGAGACGGCTCCACAGGTGAGAGCACTTCCTACAGGAGCAGGAGAACCCGAGTTTGGATCCATGCACCCATTTAAAAAAGTCTGCGGTGGCCACTTAAACCTGTAACCCCAGAGATGAGTGGAGTGGAGACAGGATTGTTAGGGCTTGCTGGATATAAGCCTAGCCAAAAAAAAAAAAAAAAATTAGTAAGCTCCAGATTCATGAAAGGCTCTGTCTTAAGGGAATAGGGATAAATAGATAGATAAGTAGATAGATAGATAGATAGATAGATAGATAGATAGATAGATAGATAGATAGATAGATAGATCATACATACATACATACATACATACATACATACATACATACATACATACATAGCAGGACACCGAATGCCGTCCTCTGGCCTCAAGTGCATGCATGGGCATGTGCCTCCACATACTACATTACAAAATGAACAAGTGTGAACCCTTCAACTCTGCTCTTTTTCAAGATCGCCTTGGCCCTCAAGTTGAAGTTCTTACTAATTTTTTACTTTTCCTTTGTGTGTGTGTGTATGGGTGTGTGTGGTAGAGACATGCATATGCAAGTTTCCCCATGAGCACGAGTGCACATGTGTCTATGGGGGTGCAAGTGCAGGTCTGTGTGTGTGCACGCAGAAGACTTGAGACTGATGTCAGGAATCTTTCTCGACTGCTCTCCATCTTTTTCACAGAGGCCATCTCTCAACCAAACCCCAGAGCTCACTGACATGGCTGGTCTCTTCAGCCAGCTCGCTCTGAGAGTCCCTTGTCTGCATTTCCCCAAGGTGGAATGCCGGTATGCCACCTGCCATGCCCATCTTGCACTGACGTGGGTCCCCAAGGGTCAGAATTTCAGTCCTCATACTTGGAATGGCAAGTGATGTAGCCACTGAGCCATCTCTCCAGCCCACGTATTGATTTTAGAATGGATTTTTTTTTTCCCTCTGCCTGCAAAGCAAAGCTTTGGTTTTGATAGGGACTGCACTGACTGTGCAGACCAACCGGGAGAGTATTAAGCAATATTGACAACATTAAAGTCCATGATCAATGACCTTAGGGCGTCTTTCCATCTACTTATGAGGAATTTAATTTCTTTCAAGGCTGTTTTGAAGTTTTGGGGGTATACACTTCCCGTTTCTTTCGCTGAACTTATACCTAACGAGACTCTTTCATTCCTCATCACGGGAATCTGAGCTCTCTCTTCGTCTAGCTAAAGGCCTGTTGAGTCTCTGGGCCTTGTGAAAAACTAATCTCTGACCGCTGACTTTTTGTATTGCTTCTTGTTTTCCTCCCCTCCCCTCCCCCCATCCTTATTTTTCCTTTCCTTCTGCTTGCTTTGGTTCAATCTGGGCTTCCTCTTTCATCCTCTTTAGCTAAAGTACTGCTGTGGCTGCATGCTGCACATCTGGGCATTCTGTCTCCATCTTCTCTCGTCTCAGATGCTTCCCTCTTGATGTCCTCTCCTGAATTCTAGAAGAGGACCATGCCTCAAACCACAAGCTTAGATCATGCCACCCTCCAACGATCACCCCCACACCTCTAAGCTTAGCATGCACCTGGAATATATTTGTACCCTGCACACACACACAAAAAATAAATAAATAAATAAATAAATAAATAAATAAATAAATAAATAAATAAATAAATAAATAAATAAAAATCCCAGGAAAGCTATCACATTGGAGGGTGAGGTGGAGAGTCCCTTCCTGACCAAATGACAAATATAAACAACTGGCAATGCTCCACATCCCACCTAGAAGTGCTGGGTGAAGAGCAGAGTGTGAATCGCTGGGTGCTCCTGGAGAGTAGAGCACCCAAGGGCAGGCCTTGGCTTAGCTGGGACTCGCAAGCCCATATAAATCACCTCCACATGCAAGTAGAGACATAAGCCACAGCTCGTTCCCCTCACGCAACCATTAATGAATAAACTAGAGGCACATTTATTAACACGGATGAATCCCCAAATCATCACACTGTGCAGAGGGAAAGAAGGTGAGGAGGGAATCCGGCAATGTGATCCCATTTATGCAAATTTTTATAGCACACAAAACAACATTATATATTATTTATGGATCAATCCACACCTCCAAAAGGCATGCAGAGAAGGACACACCACCTCAGAAGGGCAGTCAACGCAAGAGGAAGGAGATGGAGGAGGGGTTGAGGCTTTGCCTCCAGTGTTCAGTTCATCCCAGGGAAATGAGGGCGTCTGACCCGCCACCACATCTGGAGCTCTGAGGCTCGCCTCCTCTGCACTGAGGTTGGCCCACACCTCTCAAGCATAAAACACAGTCCTTGACTCCATTTATGAGCAGACTGATGGGGCTCTCTCAGTAAGCCCAGAACTGCAGACTGGGGGCATTTAACAGAAACATCCACAGCTCCCCAAACGCTCAATTGGCCTTTATAAACATATAAAAGTCACCACAGTTTGTTCTGAGAGAGTGGAAATTTCCCAGTGACTCCCTGATCAGGAAATCAGAACAAAGGGCTCAGGAGACTCCCTGGAGGCCAGAGATGAAAGTGAAGAACCAGAGAGAGAACAGGAAAACAGTGGGATGGTGAACAGGGTGGATATGGGAATCAGAATAGGGAGAGGAGGCCAGGATGAGGATAAGGGCCCAAGGCGGGGTGGAGGGCCAGGGTAGGGAGTGGTGGTGGTGGTTGTTAATTTCTCCCCATGGGGAGACGTCTATCCCTTCTTCTAAGGTCCCAACTACAAACTGAGGTGGGATTGCCCCAAAGTTCACTCTGGGGAACCAGTTAGTTTATTGGACTTCCTCACAGAGCATAGGTGACAGGTGACTTAATAGAGTGTGGGTGCCCCTCCAAAGGCCTCACCAGAAAGTCTTTAACCAGAAGGCAGGATGGCTTTCCCATAGCCATACAAATGGAGTATCCTCACCTGTCTTCCTGGCCTGTATGCTCTAGCCCCCTCCCCAGGCCACCTGCTCTTAGGGTAGAGCTGCCGGCAATGAAGATGTGAGGGTCTCTCTGCCTTTCTGTGTGGGGTCAACAAGCCCAGATGGGATGATCTTTTATGAGAGGGTGATGGTGGCTGTGTAGCTCAGAGGATAATCCTGTATAATAGGGATGCAGAGTAAAGATGGGGAAGGGTGGATGGGGGACCAGAGTGGGAATGGGGGAACCAGTGTGGGGATGGGAGACCAGGGCGGAGATAAGGAACCAGGGTCAGGAGAGAGTACCAGGATGCACAGTGAGAGCCAGGCTGGAAGTGTACAAACGGATGTTCCAGGCCTTCCCCATCTCTGGTACAGGACAAGGCTGTATGTCTGCTGTTGATGAAGCTACTCTACAATGCCAGTTGTTACCACAGGAAGGTTAGAGGTCTACAACTCAAAGCCACCTGCTGGGGACTGCACAAGACAGAAGAGTTCCTGACTGTGAGTACCTAGTGCCCACTGACCTTCAGAAAGGGACAAGGTGGAGCCCTAAGACCAAGCATGGGCTAGTGAGACTATTACAACCTCCCTTTTTAAAATCTGACTTTAAGCCGGATGGTGGTGGCATATACCTTTAATCCCAGCACTGGGGAGGCAGAGACAGGTGGATCTCAGTGAGTTCAAGGCCAGCCTGGTCTACACAGCAAGTTCCAAGATAGCTAGGGATACACAAAGAAACTCTATCTCAAAAAAACAAAAACAAACAAAAATCTGACTTTCAAATCTCAATACATGGATCTCAGAAAAATCTACTGATAAAGTCTTTTTTTTTTAACTGCACTTTCTCTAAGACAAGCAGTCAAATGAGAGCACAGACACCCTGTTATCCATCCATATGACCTGTAAGGTCCCCGTGTTCCCATCCTGACTGTAGGTCACACAAGCACTAGAGAGTCAGACAGTGCAGAGCCAGGACCGGAGGCAGATCAGTGCCCTTCCCAAGGCTCCCTGTGCACCTGAGGACCTATGCCCACATCCAATCCCCTCCAAAAGTGGGGTCCCTCAACCCACACACGTACTCAGCCCCTCCTTA